GCGTTCGACTACTCCGCCTAGGCTGCACTGTCGAGCGCAGATCCACTGAGCGCTCAACACAGACAGCATCGTCAGAAGAAAAGTTGATAAAATAAATTAAAAATTTTGTATTGTTCATGCATATGCATACCGAACCGAAAGCACTGTATCGAACGGTTCAATATCGATATGAGTATTGTTGCAGCCCTAAAAATGCATATGGTTTTCTTAGCTGAAGACTTAGCCTTTACTGTTAGTGCGTTGTTACATCTTGCACAGAAGTTTAAAAAAATCACATATTTCTGTAAAGTTACCATATAGTATTTACAGTATACCATAATACTGGTTTACCATACAATATAAGTACAGTTAAAGTATCGAATGGCTTAAACCACAGGATAACGCACAATCACTTCCAAAAAAACTCGTCCTTGAAGGAGCATCAGAGCTTTCATTAGCTTGTAATACATGGGATCAGCTAACCCCAAAGTCCCAAAACCAATCACTGTGAAGCCCCTCCAGGGAAAGCAATAACAAACCAGTGACTGAAGTTTTCCTTTCTCAAAGCAAACAAGAGTCTTGATGAACTCCCCATAACTGAAAAACTTTAGATTCTGTGTTTACTTTTAGTCTTTAATGGACGCATCCACCCAGCAACAGGAGCATCCTAACACAGCTAACAGGGCTCACATACCTGAGGTCATACTGTGTTTAAACTTTAATGTTCGAGTAATTTATGAAACTACAGGAACAGATGAGGAGTGTTTGTTTGTTCTCGAGCCACTTTTCTTCTAGTAAAGTGTGGCCTAAACACACCTAGCTTCTTTTTTTGTTGCTAGCTTAACTATTTTTCTCATGTGTAACATTAAAGGACATAATGTAAGAACAAAGTCTGCTGCATGAAAACAGTGAGCACTGTGTAAAGCAGCTCTGCAATAGTCTCTTTGTTTTGGGTTGGTTGAACTCAGGGGTAGTTCCTGCATGTCTTGCTTTCTTCTCTTCAGCCTCCCTTCTGAGCAAATGTCTGTAGTCTGCAATTAGACCAGGATTACTTAAGGCCAGAGGGAGGAGAGCCAGAGCGACTCTGCAGTCTGCTGCTGACTGCTAAATCCTGCTCAGGGTGTTTTTAATCATTTAACCTTCTTGATTTGCTCTTTTAGTGATCAGCTTCTAGGTTTTGCTGTCTCTTTCTTTTCACTGTGATAGGAGCTTATCTGTCCCTTTTAGTTTAATAAGTAAAAATTAAACTTCTATTAGCAATTTTTTCTTTCTTCCCCACATGACAGACTTTCAGGAGAAGGTAACAGGAATCCAGAGCTGCATTACAAAAGGTCAAAAACCATGCACAGACGATCAAATTATTAGTCCTAATGTGGTTTTTACTCCAAAAACTCAACAGCATCCTCCACTGCAACCATACTTGTTGTTAAAAATGTAGTAAAAAGAGAAATTAGAGTTCTGGAGCTACAAAACACAATGCACAGTTGTTTCCACCAATGATCAGCGAGTCTCCCAAAACATTTAATAAACTAGTAATGTAGTAAAGTAATACTTGTAAATGACCTTTAAATTTTGTAAATATTTTTACGTTTGTTTGAAAGGTACTTCGGTTTTATTTTGAAATTCATGCTTTTATTTTGAAACAGGAAACTGGCGCAAAACCGATAAAGGGCTCGTTAGTAACGTTTCTTTTAGGATATGGTAAATAGTGTGCCTTAAAGTGAAAAATATGTACGTTTCTTTTGCCAATTAGTACCTGGCTGACAGTGGCACAAGGTTTGTTAATGTTTCCTTTAACGGAATAAGTTACGTACAATCAAAATGTCATTTAATAGAGTTCGTGTGTTGTTAACCTTTATGTGTAGTTGTAAGTTAGTTAAGTGATATGATGAATTGAATGATGTAAATTTGATGTATATGCTATATGTGAGCAGGAGAAATTTGTTTCCTTTGATGTTATGGTATTAATATTGCTGGTTTTGTTTTGCTCCTAGCTCTTACATTCAGCCAGGGATGCTACAATACTATTAAAACAGCTTCAGTAACTGTAGAGAATTATAACCACGTAC